GCCGTGTTCCCATTCGTCGTTGTCGGTTGTTGTTATTGTTGGATTGCGAGTGCACTCTAAAGCGCTTCTGGTTACTCCCTCTGAATTCAAACACCCATGGAATGTCGTCTCTGACTTGCCTTTGCAAACAAGCTTGACAGCGGGATTTTCAATCCTTCTCTCTCTGATCATTTCTCTGTTTCTTTTCCTCTCTCTTCCTCTCTCATGTCACAACATCTCTCTCTCTCTCTCTCTCTCTCTCTCTCTCTCTCTCTCTCTCTCTCTCTCTCTGTCGACAAGTCAGGACGACTTTTTTTTTCTTTGGCTTTGGTCGTGAGTGACGAGGCAAAAGGGCAGCGCACTGGAAGCAAGTGCATTTGAAACGGGTAGAGGAGGGGTGTGTGATCAACGGGGGTTCTTGTGGTTGTCGGGTCAGTTGGTACTGGCAACGGACAGCTGGTGGCGCAAGCCGTGGACGTGACGGCCAAGCATCTGCTGCACGCTCGCTCGTGCGCCCTGCTTTTTCATTTCTGGCTCGCCATTCGCGGCAAGTGGGGCCAGGCAGCCCACCCGTCACTCGTCGCTGGCCTTTGCCTTTCTTTCTCAAACGGCGTGGCCCAGCACGTTTTGTTTACTGTACCTCAGGCGTCAGGCATCAATCAACCTTGACAGTGTCTGCCATCCTGTCGCTTGGCTCCAACGCGCGTTTGCAATGGCTGGTCACGGCGTCGGGTTTGACGTCTTGACTGGCGACTTGCTTCATGGCGGCTCGGGTGGTTTGGACGATATGAAAGTGGACATTTTGACTTTGTCCAACGATGAGCGCTTGGAGCCCGCGCTTCAGGGCGACGATGATGCGCAGCGTAAGCCACACCCGCTGTCCCAGCCTGCGCAGCCCGTTCCTGCCTGGACCTGCATCTCGTGCCGCGCGCGCGATACGCTCACAGGGCTAGCAGCACCTGTCGGTGTGCGCGTCTAGATTCGATTCGTTTTCTAACTGCCCTTGCAATCGACCGCAAAACTGTCCCCGATAGGTGCTGGCTCGCTGTCAGGCTCGGGCACCCTCTTCTCCTCAGCAGTCAGTAGGCGTTGCAACAGAAACAGACCTTCCGTGCCCATTTGCTTGCTTGCGTACACACTGCTGCCTACTCATTCTTCGAAATCCAACCCGGCATTGGTACAGGACGAGACGAAATGGCGACGCAGCTCCTACTCCCACCGCTCCCCACATCGCCGACGGGGTTCAGCCTCCCTCCCCCGCCCGCGCAGCGTGAGCGTTAGCCCTTCAAAGCATGCTCTCATGCGTCATGAGGTAGGCCGGCTGTCCCTTTGCCCGCCACCACCACCACCACGCCTACGCCCGCGCCCGCGCAAGCTTTGTGTTCATGAAATTGCAGTGAACATGCACCTGCACCTGCACTGGTTGCCCTTTTTTTAATCTATCCATTTATTTTGTTCGTTCGTGCTCATCCATGGTACTGGGCCTCGTCACGTGTGCGACTGCTAAACAGCTGCGCCGCAGCACAGGATCGCCTCGCATTGGCTTCAACGACAAGGCCATCTCGCGTCGCTCTTCTTGGGTTGACGAAGATGACGAGGACGATAGTGACTGGACCTCTTACATTGACCGTGACGAGCCTCGCTTCTACGTGTCTAACCACACCGTACGTTCTCTTCCTTCTCCTTGATTTTGTTTGCGTGACCCTCTCTTCTTCTCTTGTTCTTCTTGTTCTTCTCATTTTGATTCATATTCTGTTTTTTTTTTTTTTTTTTTTTTTTTTTTTTTTTTTCCCAACCTCGCCTCCCCATCCCCATCCCACTCATCGCATTCTCCACCCAACCAACTAACCGCACGATAGCCGGCCAGCCCTCCCAAGCTGAGCAAACGGCTCCATCACAGTCATTCCGACTCCAACCTGCGCTCCGCGCTCCGCTTCTCAGCGCAACCACAGCAGTTCAACACGAGCGTGTCCCACCAAGACATCTCACAACCACAGCCGACGCGCGTCTCGGGCTCTCATCTACGCTCGGTCCTCAAAGCTGGTTCCTCTCCGACTGTGGCCTCCAGCCCATCCAGTGGCCCGCGCTCTGCCCCACCACCCCTGCACGTCACCATCCCCACGGGTCGGAAGACTCCAGATGACGTCACTTCTCCCATCCCCTCACCCATGATGTCACCGACCGTGGTGCGCGCTGCACAAGCCTTGGCCATTTTGCCCGATGCCGCACGCATGTCGCCTCTTCGCTCTCCATTGGCGGCTCTCTATCAGCGGCCCACTTTTCCATCTTCGCGGCGTGCGTCCCCCCTTACTACCCAACTTTCGGCCTCGCAAGACTTGTCGGACAATGAGGATGGCCTCAAGTCATGGCCCGGGAGTGCCCGCCATGTCAACAGCAGCGGGCGGCGAAGCACCCGGCGTGCCTCCAGCCGCAGCCGCCCAGGTTCAGCGCAGGACGATTTTCGCTGCCGCAAATGTGGATCTAATGATGATTATGACCTCTTGCGCTGCGATGTGTGCAAAACTTGCTTCCATGCGGTAAGTACACCCCAACGGTGTGTGTTAATCTCGATGTCAATGGCTCCTTGCATCGTTGATCAGTCGATGGCTTCCCGGCCTCACGTACGATCGAATTGTCCTCGTCGTCCACCTTTCATAGGGGTGCGAGTCGCCGCCGTTGAGCTGGATGCCGACCAAGGTTTTTTGCTGCTACAGCTGCTTTGCGCATTACAAGGCTTCGGAAGAAGGCCAGCGTCTTTTGCAAGAGTTTGCCTTGTTGGGAGCTGGCTACCTGCGTCGCCTTGACGCAAGCTTCAACAATGCCCAGCTTCGTCGCCTGAGCAATGCGCCTCTTGCCAAGCTCAGTGAATGGGAAACGCCGACTCCAATCCTGGAGACGGATATCAAGGTGTGCCGCTTGCCTCTGGTGAAAGCTCTGGTGAAGCGCTCAAACCGGGTGCTCTCTCACCTTCTCTATTACTCATGTGGACCTCATTATGTTTGTTTTCTCCCTTTCTTTGTGGCGCTTTGCTGGTCATGAATCTTTTTATCACGGGTAGGCGGGTTCCGTCATCTCGTTGCGGGCGCAGCCAACGCGTGCAGATCCACGCTCCGAATGGCCGGCAGTGGTTCGTGCCGTGTACTATCACCGCGCTGGATTACCCGTGCTTCTTGTGACCTGGCTCGAGCCCAATGGCCCCGATCGATACTTTGGCGAAGGTCTCGAAGATGCCGCCGATGTTTCAGGCGAAGAAGGTGCGTTTCCACCGATTCGGCATGGTCGTTTCTCGTCTGCCCGGTGCAAAGGGAATGTGTGGTCTTGCTGCCACGATCTGTGGAAGGAGGGCGCTTCAAGGCCAGATGGCATATCTCGGGCTGTCGCGATGGTCGCGATGGTCGCTCTTACAGTTGCACTCATTCTTTTTATTTTTCTTTTTGCTGCGCTGCTGCGTGCTCTCAAGGCTCACGCCCAGAGGTGCCGGAGCTCCCTCAGCCCGAGCCCGTGGTGACACCCGTCTCCGCTCCGGCAACGAGCGCAAACACTGGTGCGGCTGCACCTACACCTCCAGAGAATGACGACGAGGATGAGGATGATGAGGATGACAAGCCCAAAGACGAGTGGGTGACGTTGCCCAATGGCAAGAGGGGCATTCGCTGTACCTGCGGTCGAATTTTTAGCAGCGGCCAGGCCCTAGGTGGACATCGAGGCAAATGCAAGGTGCCACGCGAGCGCCAGCGTGATCGTGACGCGCGTTCCAAGGCCACGTCCATGGGTCTGCCTTTCAAGTCTCCACCCAAGCAAACTGCGCCCGCTGCCCCGCCTCCAACTTCGGCGCCGGCGCCATCCTCTGCTACCGGCTCGGTTCCATCAGCAGCCACCAAGACGGCCACCCGCGTGCGCACTCGCGGTGTGGCGAACAACAACGGGTCGGGCATCAAGCGCCCTTGCATGGACGAGCTCGTGGCAGCTGATTATCGCTTATGTGATGATGAACCTCTTCCCCAGCCCTTGGCGGCCGTGGTCAAGGTAACGTCCTTTGCTGACGGCCTTTTGGCACTCTCGAGACCAAATCGCTTGGGATCGCAAGACCTGCGATGCACGTTCCGCCTGTTTAGCTGACTCGAAATCTGCATCTGCTTGCCGCTGGAAAATGGGGCCTCGCGCGCTGCAATCATAGGTTCATCGCTCAGCGGCCTTCAAGCTTCCACTCAGCGCCTTGCGCAAGCATCGCTATGATGCCATCACTCGCTTCTCTTATGCAGTCAGTCATGCTTTTATTCATACCCACCACGGTTTTCTCGCTTTGTATCACAGACATCGACTCACCTCTTGTCTTCTCGTCCGCTTGTCTTGCTTCAAGGCCTTGGACGAGACTTGCAACTCCCAGCAGTTGCATGGTGCCGTGGATGTGCCTGCCCGAGGCAATCCGAAGATGCCGTGCTTGAACCACGACGGCGAAAGTCCACTGGCCAATCATGCTAAACGTCGCGCCGCACAAGTGCATGGTGCTGCAGGTATGTCTGGTATTTTACTCCGTTCATCTCTTTCTCGGGTTGCTTACACCTCATGCATTGCTCCGATTTTGCAGATGCAAACAAGCGTGCATATCTGCATTGAGAGCATCAAGCGGCGAGGCAGTGGGCGACAACGTCTCGGGCGCACGTCTCTCGGACCTGCCAACAGCACCGGATTTTCCATGCCTGTTTCCATTTGTCATGTCTTGCGTCCTTGTGTTTGTATTGTAGGCCACATAGCCACCTCTGTTTGTTCTGCTTTTGCGTCAAAGGCTCACTTTTGGGAGCATGGCCATGATCATGAAGACGTAGAATTCGTTACATATCAATTTAACGATGCTTTATCATAATATTATCTTTATCATGCCTCAGATTCTGACCACCCAAGACACAATCAGACCCGGCTGCGGCGCAGAGCTCACACACGAGATATTGAGAAATGAATCCAGTAACAAAGAGACGCACTCCGCCAACACTTCCGCATATCGTGACTCGCTATTGTCACCGTCAAGCCAGCACATCTGGAACTTGAACGGGGCGTGCCTGATCGTCCTGGTCGGCAAGCAAGGGGGCATCTTCCTCACGGGCTTTGACGAGGTAGAAAATGATGACCCCGTTGAGGGTGACGAGGCAGGCCATGACAGCGGCGATGATGGCAGCGATGCCTGGGTAGGTACAGTCATCGGGGTCGCTGTCGTCGTCATCATCGTAAAATATATCATCGTTGTCGTTCTGATCGCCACGGGCCAGCAGCATGCCCCCAAGCACGGCCAGCTCGATGGCAGCCATCAGGGTCAGGGCAGAGGCGATGAACAAGCCGGTGCGAACATCCCGCCGCTCCACCCCAAGAACAAGCCAGCTCGGATAGAGCGCACAGATGAGTTGTAGGCCCGACACGGCCGATAGGCTCAGAGCCAAGGGGACGCCAATCTTGTCAAAGCACACATTCTGCTGACCCAAGTAGTCGATTAAAACAGTGGCAACAACGCCTAGCAGCGCCACCACGTTGAAACCAAAGGAGTGCCGTGATCTCCGACGCAAATTGGCTGCGTTCTCCCACGAGATTCGATAGAAGAAGAACATGATGCCGTCCCCTTCCCCTTTGCCAAAAGCGCGTCCAGATCGCCGATCTCACACGACACCCCCTCATACACAAACAAACACCCACACACACACAAACAAACACACACACACACACACACACACACACACACACACACACACACACACACACACACACACACACACACACACACACACACACACACACACACACACACACACACACACACACACACACACACACACACACACACACACACACACACACACACGCACACACACACACTGCACATTAAATCCGAATTTTTGTTTGTATGGGGGGGATCAACGACAGGTGAATGTCATGCCTGTCTAGACATGGTGCTTGACGGATTGAGGGACTGTCATGTCGATTGGCGATCGAACAAATGAACAAACTAACACACACACACACTCGCCTGAGCGTCGCTCATCGAGCCTTGACTCGTTTTCTCTATCTCACACAGTATGGGCGGGCGCACCCGGCTACGCCACGTTATCATAGCTCTCCGTATCACGCGCCAAAGTAAGCGCGGGTGAGTCTCGGAGAGCAGGTCTTCGTCCACGACCATGTGACGAGGCGGCGTTGTTGGTCGGTGCGGCTGCACCATTCGGCGCGGAAGAGGCGGTTGCATCGGCATCTGGTAGCGGTGCCACGCGCCGCAAGCTTGAAGGCCCTGTGCTCACGCCACTAGCCTCCTCAAAGCGAAAGGGGGCAAAGCTGAGCTGCCGAAGCGAGGATCGTGCAGGTGGCTGGGCTGGGGATGCAGCTCGACTCTCGTCCGAGGAATACATGCCGCTGAGCGACGTCACGCTTGCCTGATGAGGGTGGCGCCCAGGGCCGGTCGCAAACTTGGGTCCACGGCGTGGCGGTTTGTCAAAGCGCATGCCCACAGCCTGCCGGCTGAGCTGATGGACGCCGTCCACTGGCGTCTCCATCGTCGCACCTGTTGCCACGTCATATTGATGCTTGCTGGCTAGATCGTACGCAGCAGGGGGTTGCTGGCGCGGCAGCATTTCCACAAAGTATCCGTCAGCATCCGCCGTAGCCAGGTCAGTTCGAACATCACCATCGTTCTCTTGGGCGACGGCAAACATGTCACCCTGGCTCGTGCCAATGGAGATTCGGTCCATGTCATCGCTCGTGGTGTCTGAAGCGCTGACCGTCACCAACACCGAGTCAGACCGGGAGCGACGACGACGCACGACAATAAGAACAACAATCAAGATCAGTAGTACGAAAAGCACGGCCAGGCCAATCAACAGCGTCCACGAAAAGGTGGTGCCACCAATTGTGTAGCCGGCCCGGCCGTTGTCTCCGCCCTCCACCTGTTGACCAACGTTACCATTCGGATTGATGGTGGTGGTGGTGGTGGCATTGGTTGTGTTGAGCTCGGCGGTGCAGTACACCTTGGCCATGAAAAGGACGCAAAGTTCATGATCAAAAAGAAAGTTTTGCATCTGCCACGCGCTCGCATAGTCGCTGAAGCCGATGATGGCTTTGTTGTGCTCTGCGTCAATGACAATCGCGCCAATATCTTCAAACGCCACGATGGCTTGGCCAATTGACTGCCGACCCGCAAGACGAGCCCGGAGCGTTTCTGCAAACGCCAATGCCAGGGTCGTGTCACTGCCACCAAAATCTGCCTCAAAGTCGGTGCCTACAAGTATGCCACACATAAAAAAGAGATTGCAAAAGGTGTCAGGCCAGCAGCGAGCTGAACGGCCTGGTTAATGCAGGGTGCTTGCCGCGAGTGATGCATAGTGAGTACTAACCTGCAAAGTGTGCGTTTACAAGAACGGGACGTTCTTCCTCGGTTGTGGGTTCCGCTTCTCTGCTCGTGGTGGTAGGTGAGGTGGAGCTCATGGTTGTTGTGGGCACAAGTGGAACACAGCGACAAACAATGCAGCCAGCCAAGTTGCGATGGTAGGCCTTGTACGCGTCATCTTTGCAGTTGCAATCTACTGGCGAGCACGCTTGGGAAGTGGTTGCCGGCGGGTTTGTGGAGGCCGAGGTGGTGACCGGGACTTGCACGCCACTGGTTGTGGTAGAGCTGGTGGTGGAACTGGAAGTGGAACTGGAAGTGGAACTGGAAGTGGAGCTGGTGGTGGAGCTGGTGGTAGAGCTGGTGGTAGAGCTGGTGGTAGAGCTGGTGGTAGAGCTGGTGGTAGAGCTGGTGGTAGAGCTGGTAGTGGAACTGGAAGTGGAGCTGGTGGTGGAGCTGGTGGTGGAGCTGGTGGTGGAACTGGAAGTGGAGCTGGTGGTGGAGCTGGTGGTGGAGCTGGTGGTAGAGCTGGTAGTGGAACTGGAAGTGGAGCTGGTGGTAGAGCTGGTGGTAGAGCTGGTGGTAGAGCTGGTGGTAGAGCTGGTGGTAGAGCTGGTGGTAGAGCTGGTAGTGGTGGAACTAGTAGTGGAACTGGTGGTAGAGCTGGTGGTGGAGCTGGACATTGTTGTTTCTCTTCGAGAAGTAGAAGAGACTGTGGTTGTTTGAATGACTGAAGCAGGCTGAGTCGTCGTGGTCTTTACACAAGCACATGTCTCACATCCCAAACCCTCATCGTAGTAGATGATCATGGTAGCGTCGGCCTTGCAATTGCAAGAAACGGTGCAAGGATTGCGAGTAGTGGTGGTGGCCTGCTGTGCTGTGGTGATGGTGGTTGCAGTAGTAGTCGATGCTGGGACTCTTGTTGTTTCCATGGCGGTGGTGGTCACAGGGCGGTTTGTGCTTTGTAAAGTTGTTGTAGCCTCTGCGACGCACGTACACGTATGGCATTGCCGAACTTCATCATAGTAGGGGTGCGCAAGCGCGCCCGGTTTGCAATTACATTCTGTGGGACAGGCGCTTCTGGTCGTGGCCGGTGGCAAGGAAGTGGTGGTCGGGGCGCGTGAAGTAGTAGTCGAGGTGGTGGTGGTCGGAGCGCGTGTAGTCGTGGTCGAGGTGGTGGTGGTCGGGGCGCGTGTAGTAGTAGTCGTGGTCGAGGTGGTGGTCGGAGCGCGTGTAGTCGTGGTCGAGGTGGTGGTGGTCGGAGCGCGTGTAGTGGTGGTTGAATCACTGACGCACCTGCAGGTATGGCACTGGTACACTTCGTCATAATGATCAACAGCCGTGGCGCCTGGTTTGCAGTTACACACTGTTTCGCAGGGCTCGGGGTCGGGAGCATGGGTTGTTTGCACAACGGAAGAGGTGACATGGTCGCTTGTTGTCAAGGCCATGGTGGTAGTTGTAGAGATGCGAGCTGTTGTGGTTCCTGGTGCCTGTGTTGGTGCTCGAGTAGTCTGGGGCACGCAGTAGCACTGGTAGCATCGGGTATCGGCATCCCACCGATAAGCAGTCAACTCGCCCATCTGGCAATTGCAATTCCGGATGATG